TCTCTCTCCTCCTCTCTCTCTCTCTCTCTCTCTCGCTCGCTCGCTCGCTCTTTTCCGCTCTCTCCTCCTCACTCCCCTATTCCGAAATGTACTTTCCTGAAAGCGTTTTTAAATTTCTCGTTGGCGACTCCTCGAGAACTCGCAAGTATCGCCGACACTTCCTTTAAAACCGATTTCAATTTTAAGCTCGGAAGTAAGAAGGGGGGCGAGGCCAAAGAGTTTTGTAACAGATGCCATAGAACGGCCGACTTAACAACTTGTTTCGTCGGAAGCGGAAAGATTTCGACAGCCAGCGTGTCGAAAGAGGCACGGAAGGAGCAACTCGGAGTGACTCTAAAATGCGAATTTAAATAATTTCAACAGTCGCGGACCGGAAATGTCGGCATAGTGTTGCATGACTCGATGATTGTGTACATTTCATTTCCTATTTTCCCCTCTCCCTCCCTCTCTTCCCCTCTGTTTCCCCTACTTCTCTATACGCCAGACGAGAACACTATCCCCATTATCGCCAGTCGAATGGGCCCAGGTTCATTAACCCGAGATACATCGATATATCGACGGCGGCTTTATCTTACTGCCCGGCTACACCTGATCACACATGCACAAAGCCATCCCCATTTTCAGAACAGTATCTGTTTTTTTTTTTCCATCGAACAGAACTCGCCGCGGCCTTGATGGCGATTTGACCTTGCATTTTGTCGGAGAGATCGGTCGAATGGTAACGCGATATCATAAGTAACACGACACCGTCAGCAACGCGATATGGCGTCATGGCGTCATTTTTAACGGCAAAACTTTGAGTATCGTTTCCTGCGAGAATCGTTCGCGTTCCGCCGTGAAAACTTTCGGGCGTCCTCCGGGCGAGCACTTTGCGGATACTTTTCGAATATCGTCGCGTTTCCAGGCGCCAGACCTAACGGCCTGATCTTTTTTTCCGCAAATTTTCACAGGAAGAACATCTTTTTTTTTTCTTATCTTGACACGAACCTCTCGGCTGGGAGGTTTCCTATTAAAAAAAAGTCGACCATAAAGCCCAGATTATATCTCGTCTTATGAATCTCCCGATATTCGGTCGAGGGCGGGGAGAAGGCTTTCCATACTTACGAGAAACACTGCGAGAAAAAGCGGCGAATAATAAAGTAAATCTTCATCCGCGGCTTGAAACATCATGCACGGAAATTATGGGAAGGGAAGCGTTTATAACGTTGGCACGATTTTGCAGTTCGTCGCAATGGCCGTTTATTATTGTCGCAGTTTGTTGCGGAACCGCAAAGCTGAGAGGCGGAAGTACAATGAATCAGTGTCCGACTCTCTTTTATTCAAGTTAAACGATCTTTCCAAAGATTTTCCTTCATGCAATAACTTTATACGATCCCGCAATCTAGTATTTCATGTAGACTACTGTAGGCACGAAGAACAAATCGATAAACTTACAATAATTAAAAACTTGCAATAATTAAAATTACTCGATCAATTTTCTCTCGCAATTTCTTATTTTCAATTTCTCTGTCTGTCAATTAAATCTCTATGCTGGCCCTGCCATTGTACAGGAACAAGAAACTGAATCAATGATTCAGAATTATAAGTTATTTACGAACTGTTTATAAGCTTTCAAAACTCGCAAATGAAAAATTTCGACTTGGAAGATTGATCGTTCTTATTTATACAATTCCCTTTTTCTCTCAAAAAATTAAATTTTTGCACGGTAACTTTAAAATTTCGAATGTAATTCCAAGACTTGGAAAATAATTTACAATTCTGAGTTCATTTTCTCGAATGTTAGAAGTCCAGTGCAGAAACGTTGAGAGGATCAATCAATGTTAACGACATTCATTTAAATATATTGTCATCAATAACCGCTGTAAAAATAGCTTATGTAAATGTGCCTTAATATACGAATGTTTCTGTTTCTGCGAGTTAAATGTTGGATATTTTTGTCCACTTTCCTTAATTCGATATGCTTAGATAAATAATGAGAGTGAAGGCACGTTGTATCGGCGAGATGAAAAGAGGATTAAAAAGGATTAAAAATTGGAGAAACTATAAAGGTGTACAAGAGAGGTAGTTATTTAAGAAAGTTAGGAAGATATTCCTAAAATCGCGAGATTTCGCGGATGCGAAAGAATGGAAATTCGATAATAGGATCAAAGAATTCGATCGGAGAACGGGAAATCCATTATGTTCTCTTTCTTATTTCCAATAATTTGCAACGAAACGGTTATTCAATCAAAAACACAGTGTGCAGTTCTGTTCGTAAAATCTCTTCGTCGTCTTGTGGCTTGTATATATATGTAAACGAGAAGCACGAGCAATTAAATAGAAACGATATATATATATATATATA